CTGGATGAAAAACAATTCTCAAGCAGGTCAGAAGAGTAGGTAAAGAAGGAATTCATTAGAGTGAGGGCATCAGGGAATGGCAGCTGCCTTACAGGCAGCAGAGAACAGGAGAATGCAGAGGGAAAGAGGGAAAGTTCTCAGCCTAGGGCAGAGTCTCTTACCAAATCCTGAAACCAGGGTCACCTGGCATCCTGAGTCTGCTTGGATCAGCATCCATGGGGACTAGCCCCTACCACTCCAAGATTTGGGGGAGCCATGGAACGCAGGACAGAGTGAGATTATGTTCTGAGAACTTCCCAAAGGAGATTTTCAGGCAGGCTACTAAGAGCAGATAGCACAGTGGCAGTTTTGTCCAGGTTACACAGGCGACGGAAACATGCAGGCCCAAATCTGAGCTCTTGACAGTCCCTTCCTACTTATTAAGGAGTAGTGGGGACAGAGTGAAGACTTGGAAATAAAATGAAATAGCAAAGAGAAAAACCACAATAATCTGAGCAGTGAGAAAGCTTTATTTGAAAGTATGCACTTAAAGAAAGGAAAGTGAGGGCATTCTCAGAGGAGGCACCCTTAAAGTTTGGGAATTCTGTCTTTTAAGGCTTTTAAGAATGGGGCAAATGGTGGGCGGGGGGTTGTTGGGTATAGGCTTGACCTGGTCTCAAGATGCTTATCTCTGGCAAGATCCCATATCTCCTCTCCTCTGTTATCAGTCCTCCAGCTAATTCTGCTAAAAAACCCAACACAAGGGATTTAATTATCCTGCTCTTCTCTAAGATAGTGGTTACCCTCAAGCAGTGGGGACATATCAGCTAAGACTGCCTGCCTTGCCTTAAGGTAGGCTGTTGGGTTATTGTATGATTACCAGAGAATATATTAGGAATCTTACTTCTCAACTCTCTGTTTTTTAAAATGGAATCTTAGTCTTAAGATGGAGTCCCTCCTGTTCTTACTATACTGTTTATATCTCAGCATTTTCCTCATAGGCAGAAAAAGTTAATCATGATGCTTGTCCCATGTCCCTGCCCTGCCTCAGTACTTACATTAGGATGAGAAAGAGATGGGCCTAAAGCCAAGAAAAAAAGGTAAATTTAAATATAAAAAGTGTGACTATAAACACCTCGGGCTTAGTGGAATCACATGTAAGAAGTCTTGGAGACAAATGGACTACCTGAACTATAAGAAACTGCAACTATTCAAGACCTAAAACAGCCACTGGAGCTAAAAAAGAAAGTGGGCTAAGAAAGCTGCACAAGGATGGCATATTCTCTAAAGCCCTTTTTAGATGGGGGCGAGGATAATGGAAAAGGGAGAACTCCCAGAGAGGGAACCAAAGTATACAGAGAATAATGGATAAGAAAGAACAACAATAATGAACAGAAGCTACTCCCAGGAAGGACAACAAGACTTAAAAGATAACTTCTCACCCTACAGAAGTTTTGTATTCAGAATTAAAATGGACTTACTGCGCCCTCCAGTTTTCACCTTTCATAATGCAAGTGTATGTTGTGGTCATTCTGTCTCTGTTCTTTCCTGTTCCAAATCAAGATATGTGAGGTGGAGAAAACTTGTGCATTTACTTCCGTCAGATCAAGAGAAGCCATCAGGACTTGATGAAAAGACTACTACTTATTACCCTCTTAATTGTACTACTGTGCATTACCCAGAAATCCTGAACTTAGGAATTTGATATTGCAGATCAGCAAACCACCAAGAGGGACCTGGAGCATCTCTTTGTAGTCTATGGCCAGCTGCAGGTGATTGAGAGTGATCAAGGCACCCACTTTATTGGACATGTGTTACAAGGATGGGTGCAGCAATTAGGAATAAAGTGAAAGTTTCATGTACCACATAACCTTACCAGGGCAGGCATGACAGAGAGGTACAATGGTTTGTTGAAATCTGGCCTGATGTTGGACACCAGTAGTCTACAGGGCTGGTCAGTTCGCTTATGGACAGTGCTACAGCATTTGAATGAGAACCCTGAAAAGGAGCCTTGAGCCCTATGGGTGTGCTAACACACATTGCTGCCTCTCCTATACAACTGTATGCATAAACCAAAGAGGAGTTACTGGAGCCAGGATATGGCCAGCAGAGCTACATCCTGCTGCCAGCCCCAACTGCGTTAAACCCTGGAGACACTGTTGATGTGGCCCTGCACATTTGACACATGGACCAGTGATGGCTGGTTCTTCTGGCACCGTGGGGAAAAGGCCTGGAAGCTGGCCTCGTGTATATTCCTGGAGTAACAGCAGAGTGGCCCCCAAAGATCACAGTAGTGTACCCAAAACATCTGGGACGTAAGAGCATCTTACAGGGAAGTTTTGTTTTGTCTTTTTGGTCAGTGCATGTACCTCCTATGGCCCTATATATTGACCCATCTATAATTGCCACAGGGAGGGGGTGAAAATCTAGTACACCACACCAGGACAAGATCCCATTCCTGCTACTGTTCTATCGCAGGACCACTCTGCACATATCCTACCTGATGGACAAGATTTGCCTATGCTGGTGTCATTAAAATATGTATCTTATTGCCCTTAAGTTAATTTTCTTCTTCAGTCTCTGTGGTCTGGACCCACACCCTGGCTGTGGCTGCTGTGTGATGAGTTCACTGAACTCCCTACCTGTTCAGCTACTGCCTGCCTGCGGAATGGGTGAGCTATGGACTTAATCTGCATAGGACTTTGAACCTAGCTGAATCCTCTGCTTAAGGATTATCATTTTTATGTTATTAGTCTGGTTACAATGCTCCACAGTTTTCTCACACAGGGGCCATTGTGGAAGATGGGGAACATGGAGATTGTGAGGCAAGATTTCTGGAGGGGTGGGCTGTGGCTAAAATTGCAATATTTCCAGTCCTGGCTTTAGTGCATCTCCTTATCAGTAGGTGTTTACAAGGGGTGGAGAGAAGTAGTCCATCTCCATATCAATAGGTAACTACATGGGTGAGCTAGGGCTTATCTGGACCAGAGAGGTTGGGTGGAGCTCTCTCTTCTTCTGCAGCCAGGTCGAGAGATATGCAGGATGACTGCTTCTAAGCAATAAATGGGTTTCTCCCACTTTATTTCTGCCTTTGACTGATTTCAGTTTCAAAGGTATTTTGTCCCAAGATTTTCTCCCTGGAGTAACACAGGTATATTTGGTCATCATCCACAGATCCTGAAAACACTGCAGAGTCCTAAAGGTGAAATGGGTGTCTTGTCCTATTAATGAGAGACTTTTGGACCCACAGGGGCTAAAGGTTGAATCAGTCAATGGCTAATAATTTGGTCAATCATGACTATACAATGAAGCCCTCACAAACCCCCCTGACAAGATCTTACCACACTGTGCTCCCTTGCCTCCTGCTTCTTTGTTGAAGAGAGCTTGTATGCTTGGGGAGCCAGAATGCCACTGAGACAGGCCGGAAGTTCTATGAGGATGGAAGCTCCTTTATTTGAAACCTTGCCCTATGTATCATCTGGCTGTTAATTTGTATCCATTACAGTGTCCTTTATTAAACTGGTAAATTTAAGTGTTTTCTGAGTTGTGAGGCACTCTAGCAAATTAATCAAACCTAACAAGGAGGTCATTGGAACCTCCAATCTGTAACCAGTAGGTCAGACGCACAGATAATAGCCTGGGGTTTGTGATCCATGCCTCGAGTAGGGGATGGTGGGCAGTCTTGTAGGACAGAGCTTTAACCTGGGAAATCTGGTGCTCTCTATGGGCAGAGAGCATCAGAATTGAGTTCTTGGACACCCTATTGGTGTTCAAGAATTGTTTGGTGGTGTGTGTGTGAGAAAACCCTCTCCCCAACACATACACACACATTGGAATCTAGTTCTGGAACCTGAAAGGGGTTGAGAACATCATTGCATCTACTTAAAACTGTTTTTCATCTGGCATGAGTTTGCGACTTCATTTCATTCAGGTCTCTTTCAGGTCTTTGCTCAAATATCTCCTTCAAAGTGAGGCCTTTCTTGACTACTCTTGTTTAAAATTTCAACCCTCCACTAATTCCTATCCACTCCCATTGTGCTGTTTTTCTCCACAACATTTATCAGGATATAATAAAACAGACTATTAGCTCCACGTGGACAGGTATTCTTGTCTCTTCACTACTACACACCTAATTCAATGCCTAGTACATAAGAGAAGCCCAATCAAAATATTTTTTGTTGAATGAATTATAAGGCCTGATAATATACACATTTTTTTAAGGGCAGGAGTTGGCAGTGCAGGGGAGAAAAGTTTGAAGAAACCTGTAAAAGAGAAATTGTCCCAAACTTGGTTTAGGAAAAAAAAGGTTTGTTTGTTTGTTTTTGTATATTATAATTCATGACTTCTGGGAGAAAAATGATCATTCCTGATAAGCAATTTTTAAATGAGTTTAATGCAATTAAGACTTTTTCTGCAAGCTAGTTGTCTACCCACCCTGATGCCTGTCAGATATATTTTCTTTTTTGTAGCAAGCTAACAATGACTTGTGAGCTTTTTCTTTTCCTATATGTAGTCTTTTCCCTGCCTGAAACTTGATCTTGGCCTTTTGCCATAATAAAACTTTAGAACATAATCACAATTAGGCTGTCTCAAATAACCTTAACATAGCTTACATTTTTAATTATTTATATTTAAGGAACATTTGTTATTCCTGTTACTGAAATACATAATTCTTTTTAAAAAATACATAAGTCTTTCAAATACAAAATTTATGTAAAAATATATATAATTATTTTAGAACCGTATTGGCTGCTATTTGCCACGTCTATATGGCGTATGTTTTCTATATGTTATGTCTACGTTAATAAGTAAAAATTACGTACACGTTTCCCTTGAATAGGACCAAAGCACTCCTTGAAGATCAAGCCACATCACACTAGAAATCTCCAGGAGACTAAAGAGGAAACCCCAGAGGCCTTCCGGAGAGAAACTCCAAGAGCCTTATGGGAATTGTAGTCTCAGATGGAGTTCCCCGAGGACCCTGGGATATCTGTGTAGATCGCTACTTCCGTACACGCGCAGTAACCGATCAGGAAGTATTCCGGCTCCCTCTGTGTTCCTCGCCCCTAAGCGGCCCGTGACTCTGAAGGGCTTGAGGTGTAGTTGAAGAGCAAAGACCGGCTTGTTGGTTCATGTGGAGGAAGTAAAGTTGTAGGTAACCCCTATGCGCGGGGGCACCGGCTCAGAGAAAGCCTAGTAAGGGTAGGGCTCCCGCTGCCCTTGTGTGGAGCCCAGGGCTGGCTGGGGTGTAGCGGGTTCTCTGTTGTAGGAAGTGTGTAGGCACCCCACGCCTGTACGTTCAGTTGTACCTCACCTCATCCAGGAGCCTTTTGACTCTCAGCCTGCAATAAACCCCTTCAAGGCGGTGGGATGAGAACCAGTATATCCAACGCCAGACACTGTTAAGCACTTTTAAAAGCGTGTGACATTTATTTTTCACGTTTACTCTGTGATGTAAGAAACCATCGTTTTACAGAGCGGTGTGGTGTTACCTGCTTCAGATCACCCAGCTAGTAAGTGAAGGAGGTGGTATTCAAATTCAAAGCAGTTTTACCCGAAATTTAATTGTTTTTGCAGCGTAGAACTCTGACTAAAGAGTTAGTTTGCATTCTTTCTGAGGAGTGAATGCTAGGTGAATTTCAGCTTGTGATCATTGTTTTTGAGAGAACTCTTGATGTGTCTGTAGGAAGACAGTAATTCAACCTGTGAGTTCCTCTTGCATATATTTCTGTTTGTTGAAGTTCCCAGCAGCCCTGATTAAAATCTACAAAAGGCCAACCTAGGGCCACAGGTGATGGTGAGTTTACACAATCGGGGCCCATCGTGAAGGTTCCGTTAAAAGTGTTGCTCCCTCGTCATCCACACCATTTTTTTCTAGGAAGAAGGAAAAGGGAAAGAGATTAATCCTGTGAAAAGGCTCTCCTGACCTGTGCCTGTTTACTCCATTGCAAGGGAGACAGGTGTCCACTTCTCTTCCCTATCTAGTGAGAGTAGGGCTCAATTCATGGCATCACATGTAACCGCCATCCAGAACAGTGTCCATGGAGGTGTTGCCCCAGATATTTCAGGAAAGGTGAGAACAACAGAAGAACAGGGAGGGTGGGTTTATGTGGAAAGGAAGAATCAGTTATTACAGAAGAAATTCTGCTTCCTAAACGTATTTTCTCTCCCTACCTTTCCTCATCTCTCTCCCACTGTCGTTTCTTGTTGGCTCATACTGATCAGGATGGTGGAAGTCCTTACAGACCCTGGTTTAAATTTTATATTTGCAAATTATATATGTGTATATAGTATGTATGTTTGAAAAAGTAATATAAAAAATGTAAAATAAAAGTACAGTATGTGAAAGAATGAAATAGAAGTTACATATGATCCTGCTATCTTTACAACCCTAAATAGTATTTACATTTTGATATGTGACCACTAAGATTGTCCCTGTGTTTGAGTGCCTATTTTTTAAAAGAGGAGATGGGGATCATGTTATATATTTTAATATACTTTTTCCACCTGCAAGTATAAATGGAACTTCTTTCCTTAACTATCTTTTTAAAGCATCTTTTTAAAATTACAATCAACACCCTATTAATAGACATTTGAACTATTGTTAGTGTTTCCATATTATAAGCAGTAATGTGGAAACATTATCTTTCCCTTCCTCCCTTTTTTCCATTTTTAAAAATAATAACTTTATGAGTGCTTACCATGTACCATATGTTGTTCTAGATATTTGACCTGTGTTACTTATTTAATCCTCATAAAAGTCCTACATATGATGTGTGTAGTATTATTAGTATTTTGCAGATAAAAAAACTGAGGTGCAGAGCAGTTAGGGAACTTTCTCAGGGCCATACTGCTAGTAAGTGGAGCAGTCGAATTTGAACACAGACTGCCTGACCCCAGAGTCCAGCCTTTTAAAGATCTTTGTATCCATCCATTTTTCTTTTCTTTAGGATAACTTTTGGGAGAAAAGGATATCAGAAATTAACAATTAATTGTAATAGATCAATAGGGAAGATTTATATACATCAACTTAAGAAAGAACATCCTTGCCCAGGTTTCCTATGATGAATCAGAATTTTAAATGAATAAGTGGGTGGTTTGGGACCGGGACTTCCCTCACTTCCACCAATAGCCTTTTCAATAGCTGGCATATGGGTATTTATTTCTAGGTTGGAAAGGCAGGGAACTCCATACATTTATTCAAATTCTGCTTTGTTTTCTGGTGAATTTGCAGTAACTTATAAGAATCTACATATTAAAGTAGAAAAGTATTAATAGATAAGAATATAAACAGGAAAAATACAGATTGAAATTTAAATTTGACAGAAAGTTAGAAAATTGATACCAAGGCCATAGTGTCTGCACACAGTTTGTAATGTTGAGATTCATATTTGTGTATGCTCTTGGAAGTCATAGAAAAAGGATGCCCAATTAGTGACTTATTGGCCTTGTCTTAGAAAATAAGGCATAACAATGTCATAGGTAAAGGCTTTCCTGGCATTCCTATGAAGGAAAAATTTTTGATGAGTGTTTGTTTATATAGAAGATGAAGTAGCAGTTTTCATATGACCATTTTTAGTGTCCCTTTGTATAAGCAGAATAGACGAGGCCAAAGCAATGCTCAGCAAACTTAATATTTTCTCTTTTTCCTTCTCTTCCTCTTGCTATCTCCATACATATGTGTATATATAGATACGTGTGTATATGTATATGGAGGGACAGTTCTAATAGATTTTCTCTCAAATTGTAGTTCTGAATCAAGTACATAGTAGTTTTTAGTTATCCTATATAATTTATTGCAAGCTCTGAACAGTGAACATAATCAGGAATTGCTCTGAATCCATCCATATTCTCCAGTACTCACTACAGGTTGAAGATTTGTGTGCTCTTGCAGGGATCAGTGACAATCCAGGATGTGGTGGACTTCACCCCAGAGGAGTGGCAGCTGCTTGACTGTGATCAGAGAACCTTGTACTGGGATGTGATGTTGGACAACGTTAGAAACCTCATCTCAGTGGGTAAGGACTGGGAGTGGTAACTCTTCAGGCAGCTGAGCATGTGCTGGTAGTGAGTGCCCTTCCTTTGAGACTTGTGAAAGCTGTGAGCATTCTGAAAGCATTAATAAGTTTGGCCCTGAATATTGGTGGTCAAAGATTCCTATCCCCTTTGGAAATCAGATAGTGTGTTTATGGTTCTACCTCCCAAATGGAGGAGAAGGGTCATCCTTCTGACCTGAATTGTGAGGTAGCTGTATGTCCCTAGCAGTCTGTCCTCAGTTCTGTGTTGTTTCCCATGAACAGAGGACCCAGCTACTGAAGCAAAAGTGGTCTTCAAGGTGGAGCAAGGACAAGAACCATGGATGGTGGAGGGAGTGAACCCACGTTGGTGCCATCCAGGTGAGTGAGAGAAAACCAGGTTAGCGGGAGTCTTTGGAACTGAGATTCCCGTTGATCACTGAGGGACAGGCACCTTTGAAATACTTTTCAGGAAGCACCTCTTAAGAGCCACACACACATCTTTGGAAGTGCCTGGGTCCACTCGATATAACATCATCAGCTCCCCAAGTGATGCCTTCACTCTGCCCAGTAGCTGCTCTTTCTCTTTGCTCAGCTCTTGTGTGAAGGGATGTCTCTCTCCTCTCTACTCTCGTGCCTTGTGCTGCCTGTTTCAGCTGGGACCTCGCTGTGTTCTCTTAATTCCTGAAATCCTCATTCTTCTTCCCTCTTCACCAAGATCACAGATGTTTTCATACATCTAGTTCTTATGATGTAGTCATTGTGTGGCTGAGAAATAAGGAATGATGTTAGAGTCCAGAGTGTTGCATTAATAAGATTCCTTCTTGATAGAAATCTCAGAGACTGTGAAGAATTGTCTTCTCCCATTTTCCCTAACATAGTGGACTTGGCATTTGTAGGGTTTTGAGCTTGGCATTAATTGTTTCATTGAACATGGTGTGGTATTGTGGTAATAGTAGGAATTAATCTTCTTAACCACAAAAAAAGTACAAGGCAAAGGTTGGTAAAGACTAGGAGTCTGGTGTGTCAGGTCCCCAGGGTTAATGGAAACCATAAATATGGAAACCAAAATGTGAAATTTGAGTTGAAAAGTGTGGTTGGGGCAAATTAGGATTTTGGGTGCTAGTATATCTTTCTGGCAGATGGACAATGGTTATAAAAAGCAGGATTAATTATGAGGACAAATTCATTCTAAGTAGTAGAAGCAACTGACAATAGAAGCAGATTTAATGTTTGGTCTGTTTTAAATGTTCAGCCTCTGTGTTCCTGAGTATATATGAGCATTGGAGAATGAATCTTAGGTAGAAGTGGAGTTGGAGACCTTTCTACAAAGATACCTAAATTGTGGTTTGAGGATATAGAATGTGCCTATAGATGAAAAGGAGTTAATATTTTGACATTGTTTGCAGGATAAGTGAGGAGAAAGAAGTGGATGAAGGAGCCTAGGGAGGATCCTAACAGATACTTTATTTATTTATTTTATATTTAAGATAGTTGAAATACAATACTGTATTAATTTAGGTGTACAATATAGCAATTTGACTGTATTATCATATACATTACAAAATGCTCAGACAGTAAGTGTGCTTACCATCTGTCCCCACACAGAGCTATTACAGTATTATTGACTATATTTATATTTTCTTTCCTGTACATCTTATTCCTGTGACCTATTTATTTTACAACTGGAAGTTTATACCTTTTTATCTCTTTCCTGCCTTTTGCCCATCCTCTACCCTCCTCCTCTATAGCATCCACCAGTGTATTCTCTGTGTTTATGAGCCTATTTTTAATTTTTGTTAATTTTTTTTTATTCAACATATATATGAGATCATACAGTATTTGTCTGTGTCTGACTTGTTTCACTTAGTATAGTACCCTCTAGGTGCACCCATGTTGTTGAAATGGCAAATTCCACTTTTTACGGCTGAGTAATACTCCATTGTGTATATCTGTACCATATTTTCTTTAGCTTTTCATCTATCAGTGGGTGCTTAAGTTGCTTCCATGTCTTGACTATTGTAAATAATGCTGTATTAAACGTAAGGGTGCATATCTGTTTTTAAATTAGTGTCTTTCCTAACAGGATAATTTAATTTTTAGATGTTGTAGACCTTGACTCTGAGCAAACTTCTCCAAACCAATCTACCTCTTCTCAGTTCCCTGTAACACCTTTCTTTCATTGTTCCTGATTCCCCTACTTGCTCACTTATCTGAAGTGGCTCCCTCTTTCTCAGAGCTTACTCTGTGTTTATTAAGAGTTCTTTTTACCTTCCTTTGTCATCTTTATAATTTCACTTTGTGCCTATTTCACCATCTTTCATAGGTTGGAAAACCATATTTATAAATGGAAAAAGTTACTTGTTCCCATTATTATTTTCTAGAATCTTTCATTTCAACAATTATTTTTTTAAAGCCCAGGGGCAGGGAAAATACAGATTTCTCTTCTGTTTTGTTGTCCAGAATGGGACCTGAAACCAGAGACTATTTTTTTTTGTGGTAAAAAATGCCACAGAATAAAAAAATCTTGACAAATTTCTAAGTATATAGTACAGTATTACTACCTATATGCGCACCTTTGCATAGTAGATCTCTAGAATCCTTTCATCTTTCATGACTGAAATCCCAAACTCCATACCCATTTAACATCCACTCCCTATTTCCTACTCCTCCCAGCCCTTGGCAACCACCATTCTACTTTCTGCTCCTCTGAGTTTCACTATTTCAAATACCTTACGTAAGTGGAGTCAAGCATTATTTGGCTCCTAACTGGCTTATTTCACTTAGCCTAATGTCCTTGAGGTTCATCCATGTTGTAGCATATGACAGGATTTCTTTCTTTTTTAAAGTATGTATATACTACATTTTCTTTAGCCATTCATCTGTCAATTGTGATTTAGGTTGTTTTCAGTGCTTGGCTATTGTATAATGCTGCAGTGAAAATCTCTCTAGGAAAGTGAAAATATCTCTAGGAAATCCTATTTTCAATTTTTTTGATAAAATACCTAGACATGGGATTGCTGGATCATAGGGTAGTTCTATTTTTGATATTTTGAAGAAACCATGCTGTTTTCTATAGTGGGCTGTGCCATTTTACATTCCAACCAAGAGTACACAGGAGTTCCAATTTCTCTATGTCCTTGTCAACACTTATTATTTTCTGGGCTTTTTGATAATGGACATCCTAACAGATGTAATATCTTATTGTGGTTTTGATTTGCATTTCCTTGATGATTAGTGATATTGAGAATCTTTTGATATACCTGTTGACCATTTGTATGTCTCCTTGGGAGATGTATCTGTTAAATTCCTTTGCCCACTTTTGTGCTGTTGACTTAATAGGGGTTCCTTATATGTGTTGGATATTAACTTCTCATCCCATATATATTTTTAAAAATATTTTCTCTTATTCTGTAGGTTGCCTTTTCACTCTGTTTATTGTTTCCTTTGCTGCACAGAAGCTTTTTAGTTTGATATACTCTGACTCATCTATGTTTGCTTTTGTTGTTAGTGCTTTTGGTATCATATTCAAGAAACCATTGCCAGGATCAATGGAACTTTCCCTCTATGTTTCTTCTAGGAGTTTTATAGTTTCAGGTCTTACATTTAAGTCTTTAATATATTTTTTAGTTGATTTTTGTGTATAGTGTAAGATTATGCTCCAATTTCACTCTTATACATGTGGATATTTGGTTTTCCCACCACCATTTGTTCAAGAGACTATCCTTTCCCTGTAGTGTAGTACTGGGACACTTGTTGAAGACTGTATATGCATGGATTTATTTCTGGGTTTTCTCTTCTGTTCATTGGTTTGTATGTCTTTATGCCAGTACTGTACTGTTTTAATTATTATAACTTTGTAATATGGTTTTAAGTCTAGAAGTATAAGGCCTCCTACTTCATTCTTTCTCAGGAATACTATTTCTCAAGAATAGTATTCTCAAGAATACTATTCAGAGATCTTTGTGTTTCTATATTAATCTTAGAATTGCTGTTTTTGTCTCTGCAAAAAATGCCATTGGAATTGAATTGAATCTGTAAATTGCTTTGGATAGTATAGACATTTTAATAATACTGACTTCTAGTCCATGAACACAGGATGTCTTTCCCTTTATTTGTGTCTTTAATTTATTTCAGCATAGTTTTGTAGTTTTTCACCTCCTTGGTTAAATTTATTCCAAGTATTTTATTATTTTTGATGCTATTGTAAATAGGATTGTTTTCTTGATTTCTTTTTTGGGTAGTTTGTTTTTAGAGTTTAGAAACAAAACTGATGTTTGTATGTTGATTTTATATCCTGAAACTTTGCTGAATTTGTTTATTCTAGTAGTTTTTTTGTGTGGAATCTTCAGCATTTTTACATGTAAGATCATGTCATCTGTGAACAAATGTACTTTTACTTCTTCCTTTCCAATTTGGATGCCTTCCATTTCTTTTTCTTACCTAATTGGTTTAGCTAAGGACTTAAGTACCTTATTGAATAGAAATGGTTAGAATAGGGCATCATTGCCTGAAGCCACAGACTTTTAAAGTTTTTCTTTCTATAGCATGATATTGGAAGGAGTAACTGGAAATGTGTCATTGTACTCCTTTTTAGAAGTTCTCTGCTTACTTGATAAGCTAGAGAGATAAGAGGGAAGCAAAGACAATTTTTTGAGCCAAGATATGTTCACTTCCAAGAAAACACTGACCAAGGAGGGAATCCAAAATTGTAATTTAAGTATAAACTTTATTTCTTCAAGACAAAAGCAATGTAAATGTAAATCAAATGGAAAGCATTTACTACTTAATTTATACATACTTAGTTATAATAAAACTTATATTGGAGAAAATGCTTATGGATACAAAGAATGTGGAAAAACCTTGAAAAACAAGTTTTGTCTTATTAGACATGAAAAAAAGCATACAAGAGAAAAAGGCTTTGGATGCAATGAATGTGGGAAAACCTTTAGCAGCAAGAGAATTCTTATAGCACATCAAAAAATTCATGGTGAAGAGAGACGCTTTGTGTGCAGTGATTGTGGGAAAGCGTTTAAGCGTAAAGAACAACTGGTGGTCCACCAGAGGCTTCACACTGGAGAGAAACCTTATGAATGCAGTCAGTGTGGGAAGTCATTCACTTGGCACTCCTCTTTTAGTCAACATGTGAAATCTCATACACCTGAGAACTCATTTGAATGCAAACAATGTGGGAAAACCTTTAAATACTATTCATCTCTTTATAAACATTATAGAATTCATACAGGAAAGAAACCATTCAGATGTAGAGATTGTGGTAAAGCCTTTGCAGACTCATCAGTACTTGTCCTGCATCAGAAAATTCATACAGGCGAGAAACCCCATGGGTGTTCCGAGTGTGGCAAAGCCTTTATTAAGAAGCA